GGAGCAGAGACGGATGCACTGTCCCCTGACTTTGTCAGGGCATGCCACATCCCTCTGCTGGAGCTACCAAACCCTTTGGTACTCCAAATGGGTACCAAAGGGAGTCGTTCCTGCATTTACTACGGAACAAATGTTGACCTGAAGATATTAGGTCAGAATAAGAAGCACTATTTCGATGTTGTAAACATCGAAAGGTACGACGCTATATTAGGTGCTCCGTGGTTGAACATGAATAAGGTGATGCTTGACTTTGGCAAGCATGTCATCCATGTCCACAGAGGCCAGCTCCCTTCATTTGACATTCCAATGGAACGTTCCTTTATCTTGACTGGGCACCAGGCCCACTGACACAATTCAAGCCTAGTTAAGAAGGCTTCGCCCTCAAATAATCAGGTGTCCAAATTGCCAAGCACACAGCAATTGTGACTTGGTAAGGCGAAGCCAACTTCGCCACCCGATCACCCCTCTAGGGAGGAGCCCAACTGTCATATCCATTCCTGGCCATTGACTTCCAATCCCTCCGATCCCTCCAGGCTACCTCCGCTCCTTCTTCACTAACCTTGGAGCTCCTGTATTCCGCTATCCCCTCGGTACCCCTTGATGGTCACCACCCCCTCCTTTCAATTTATTACCTATGCCTCCCTAAGTACGGAGCCCCGAAGACTTCCGGACAGCTCTGACGTCTGCTAGCACACTCCGGCCTCCGCTGGGCAATACACTCGCCTGCCCTGCAGAGCCCACCTTCGGGTCTATCCCTCCTTTCCATTTCTGGGTTATCGCCCACCTTTCCGTTAACCCTGTAACCCGACTCGTCGGTAACATTCAGTCGGCTAATGTTTAACCCTGTTAGTTCCGCTCCGCTTGGCTCTGCCATTTGCGGACCTGTCTTTGCTGTAACTATATATATCTGGCTTGTACATAGGTTACACTTCAGTAATAAAATCGACTAGAGTTTACCCCCTTCAGTTCTGGTTGCCAGTTAGTAAGTTAGGGCATGGACGTGTTACTTGGCACAGCGCTCCTGGCACAAGTCACTGAGGCTGAAGCCCTCCGCCACGGAGACATTCCTTCGTCTCGACCTGGTCTCTGACACCAACCCTCATAGTATAGCCACTATGAGGGGATCTTCTTATGTGTCGTCTGTACAGGATGCCACACATAATTTTCCGGAACACTGGCCTGACCCAAAGTCAGGTCAGTTACCTGATTGTTCTCATCTGGAACATCGCCCAATGATGGACGATGGTTTCATTCCCCTCTGCAATTGGTGGAGGGCGCATTTTGAAGACATCATGGCACCTGCACCTGAGGTCTTGCCTCCTTTCTGTGAAGTTAACCATAGGATTGGTCTTATCAATCCCATGAAGGGGTACAATGAGCAGCGCTCTATGTGTCCTCAGGCTCTCGAGCAACAGCTACAAGAGAAGGCTCTTCGTTACAAGCGTGCTGGGTGGTGGGTTAGACGTCCTGCTGCCATGGCATGCTCGTTGCTCTGCCTTGCAAAAAAGGATGGCTCTCTAAGAACCATCATAGATGTGAGGAATCATAACGCGAATATGATCCTCGACATCACACCGATGCCAGACATGAGATCCATAATGGACAGTCTGGCAAGGAACTCATATTGATCGAAAATCGATATGACCAATGCATATGAGCAAATACACCTGGAACTCGACTGTGTTCCACACACTGCATTTGCCACTCCATGGGGCACATACGTCTCGAATGTGCTGCGGCAAGGGGACTTCAATGGTCCCTCAACCTTTCAAAGGACCATGTTGTGGGTCCTCTGACAAAACATCAGATGGGCCATACACGCATGGTTTGACGATATATTTATGGGAACTGATTCGGTTTCCGGACACAATGAGAAGCTTTTGTGGGTTCATGACCAACTGAAAGCTGAACACCTGCACATCAGTAGGAAAAAGTTCGAGCTGTTTGCAGCGGTTCTGGACATCCTAGGATGTAAGGTGGATGGCCATGGAGTCCATGCAGACTCTGATAAAATGGCAAAACTTTGCAACTGGCGAGTACCTGAAGATCACCGGGAAGTACTATGCTTCCTGGGACTCATTGAGTATCTCGCCCACTTCATGCCAAACGTTAGTGCATATACAGGTCCATTACAGACGATATGCACCAACTACTTACCATTCTTCTGGACCCTGTTACACCAGAAGTGTTTTGATGAGATCAAAAATCTCGCCTGTAAAACACTGATTCTGAAACCCATTGTCTGGAGCGCCCTATGGGCCTCTCTGATGATGAACAATCGAGGTTCCAAGTCTGGGTTATCACAGACGCCTGCTAAGCAGGCGTCGGTGCTATTCTGGCCCAGGACACAAAATGGGAAACCTCCCACCCTGCAGCATTCATGTCGAAGAAGTTTACTTCGACACAATGTTTGTACTTCACATACAAACTGGAGGCACTGGGAGTCCTGGAAGCCCTGTCCAAATGGATGGATGAGCTAACAGGTGGCCAAAAGTTCTCAGTAGTAATGGACCATAAGGCCCTGACGTACTTCAAAGAGAAGCACCACATGTCACATAAGATGGAAGAATTTTTTCTATGGCTTAACTGCGACATAATTTATGTCAAAGGCCATAGGAATAAAGTAGCAGATGCACTGAGTCGCTACTATGAGTCTTTGTGCAACGAAGACTTACATTATGATGAATTTGTCTCTGCAGACATCCACATAGACAAATTAGGGGATGATCTCCCCTTAAGTTGCATTGAAGAAGCAGAGGAAATGTTATATTTTCATCACCTCCGTTTGAAACTTGTGATGACCAGAGTTGGGACAGAAGATTGCAACATTGAAGCCGCAATCTTGGACCCACCCAAAGACCCTTCAGGGAGGAGCATGCTGACACTCACCAACATAGTCCCTGAAGAAGGAAGTTTGAGAAGCATAACCGAGGAAGAGCCCTTCCTTGATTCCGTGAGGAAAGGCTACGACAAGCAATCTGCTTGGCATGGTATATTGGAGAACCCATTGTGCTTCCCCAAATTCAAGGTCTCCAATGGCCTTATCTCAAAATTGAATGAGTCAGGTGCACCACATCTGGTCCTCCCAGACGTCATTCACAAAGGGGAGAGGGCGACTGGTATTGCCATTGAGCATGCACATGAGATCCTAGGGCACCTAGGATCCCATAAAACCCTAGAATACCTGTGCCGCTATTACTGGTGGTCGACTATGGTCCGCAATGTGGAGAGGTACATCTCCACATGCGAAAAATGCCGAACCACCAAACGAATGATGCAGAGGAAGTCTGGGCTGCTGCACCAGCTGCCCATACCGGAGACCCCTTGGTCTTCAATCTCAATGAACTGTGTCGGTCCATTTCCATCAAGTTTGGACTATAACTACCTATGGGTAGTTATGTGTCGCCTAACTTCACAGGTACATCTGATACCTGTGAAGACAACAACCAATGCCTTGGAACTCGCATACAAGTTCCTCAAGGGCATTGTTCATCTACACAGATTACCAAAGTCAATAGTGTCCGATAGGGACACTAAGTTCACATCCAGATTCTGGACGGAACTACACAGACTCTTGGGGATTCGTCTGAAGATGACCACTGCCTTTCATCCCAAAGGCGATGGTCAAGCTGAATGGATGATCCAGAGCATGATCCAGATCATTTGTGCTGCAGTCAGACCCGATCAGTGTGATTGGGTCCTAAAACTGCCTCTTACCTGTTGGAATTTGTACACGTGGTCTCAGGAACCTTAATGCATAAAATATGGACATTCTGGGAGTCGAACCGCAGAGCCCTGCATAGGTACCTTGAGTGTGTTACCATTACACTAAATGCCCACATTAGGCGGAGGTGGTTTCTAACATTACCGAGTTTGCAATAAACTCGAGTGTTAACAAGTCAATGGGGTATGCCCCCTTCGAGCTTATTTACGGGATTATGCCATGTATGGTGGTAGAAGTACCACCTGTGCTAGATAATCTCCAGGGAGCTCAAAACTCGATTAAAAGAGTTGTGTAGAACAGGCCATCCAGTTGAATAAGCTCAGGCAACCAGACTTGCCTAAGCTGAAAGTTGGTGACCTTGCCTACCTTTCGACTAAAAACCTGAACCTTCCTAAGGGACGAGCCAAGAAGCTCCTCCCTAAGTTTGTTGGACCATATGAAATCCTCGAAGTATTCAAGGATTCATCTAACTATACCCTCAAGCTCCCACCAGAGCTTGTGAGTCAGGGAATATTCCCCAAATTTCATGTTTCTCATCTGGCCCCTCATGAGCCAAATGATCCATTACTGTTCCTGGGATGGGCTGCCCAAGTATTCTGTGACTTTGACAACGATCCTGAACAGGAATATCAGGTTCAAGAGATTTTGGACCATGCATGGGACACACACAATAGCCTGTGGTTCCGTGTTAAATGGGGCCTCGGAGATCTCACTTGGGAACCCCTGTCTCACTGTGACGAACTCGCTGCATTGGACAACTATCTAATGTTACATGGTGTTGATGCAGTTGAGAAATTAAACAGGGAAAGCTGCTTTCCCTCACCTCCTATATGAAATGCCACCTCAGCATCTCGTCCCCATCATTCCTGATGGCCTGCCCACTTGGGAATGGTCCTGTGGCCATCAGAAGGCCGTTTATGGCATTAGTTGCCATAAGTGGAAATTGCTTCCGTGGGTTCGTTAATATTCCCACGCATGAAAATTGCTCCTTCTTATCTCCTGCCATCATGCCTGATCTGACAAAGACTTCTGACGTTGGTCGCGGGCCAAGCCCATGCCCCTCTAACAATGCCATGGACGCTGATGTGTCCATGCTGTCCCTTGACTCACCTCATCAGCCGTTAATGCCTGGCATTGACGAGCTAGACTCTGTACTCCCCTGGATTCACGACCAGCAGACCCAGTGCCTATTCTGGCCATATCAGGCCAGTTGCCCCCTGCCACAGGTGAGTTTACTCAGTCCCAAGTCAACTATTCATCGAATGAGCCCCAATACATGGGGCAAAACTATGCCCCAGAAATGATGGTGCCTATGCAGGCGCCACCATACCCAATATTTGCCCCAGGCATGTGGGGGTATAATCCCCACATGCAGCAAGAGCCGGTGAGACTGCCCATTGCAGCCTCAAATGACTCAATACTAGGCAACCTTCTTAAGCAAGCCAACAGGTCCGCCTCTTGGAAGGCGAATTCTTCCAATCTTGCAATGAAGCCAATAACCTCAGAAACGAGAATAAAGAATTATGGGAGAATTTCCACAGGCTTGAGATCAAGAACGTTTGTCTCGATCTTGAGTTGAGAAACTCTTCCCATCACCAATCGTGGCTCTGAGACAAGTGTGACAACCTCGAAAAACAGATCGATCACATGGAAAAGGACGCTAATGCCTATGAGGGCTCTCGCCCTCGTAAGATCCCCCACATGTCAAGAGTAGGTATGCCACCTGTACTGTCTCAACACAGCCAGCATAGGGCACCAGTGGTCCCTATGTCTGTTTCGAATGTGGAGGCACATAACCACACTGCGAGACCTCCTGTCCCAACAAGGGTAAGGGTTCCTCTTGCTGGCCTCATGGATGGCCATTATGGTCACCATGCGGCTCCCATTCCTCCCCCAGGGCCTCAAGGGCCCTCATCTTCTTTTGGTGCCATGATGGCACCTCCTCCTCCCCAACCCAGTGAGGTGCCTAACTTAGTCCCAGAGGGGTATTCATGGTTCGCTGAGGCGAATCGCTCTCCTGCTGCTGGGACCTGGAGAAATGTCCCTATCCCAGGCACATTTTCCAGGGTGACTTCCGCTTTGGTGTCACTATCAGTGGCCAAAACTGGCCTGTGTCGGACAGTCATAACCGCTGCCAAAAGCGGTGGAATGACTGGGTTCACCCGTTCTTGAACTCGATTGAAGGGTTCAAGTTCATGGTGGACTTAAAATGGCTCGACCATGGAATGAGGAATGGGTTCAGCAGCGCTTCACTGGAGGCTCATCAACTTCATGGTCGATTCTTTGACATTAAGTTCGTGAATGGACAGAACGTGTCCACCACAACTCAATGGACGTTTTGGGGATCGTCCCCAAAATTTCGAAAATACTAACGAGGCAGGGAAGAAGTATCTTCTTTGCTGCCTCTGGAAACACTACCACTCAGAAGCGGCACAAATAGTGAAGGCGACTAGTGCCACTGCATACAACCTTTCCAGGTTGCAGGTAAGTGACCCTAGTTCTACCATTTTGGGACCCCCCCAGGTTCTGCCTCCTCACTACACAACAGTGGATAATAATCCACCGTTGCCATATTCGCAGGTAATAGAACCCACCCCACCCCATAACCCTGTCCCCCACACTGAGGGAATGTTGGTGGACAATGGTGTGGTAGAAGAGGCCCCAAGGCCGAGACATTTCCCGGCGGCCCAACAGATGCAGGCCCCCTCTGCTGGAATGCAGTGGCGGGCCCATCGAGAGGGCCCCAGGCTAGTGGGTCCATGCCCACCCGAAAGGGCAAAGCCAAGAAGGACTGATGTCCCCTTGGTAACCCCTGTCTACACTCAATGAGTGGGATGGGGTGTTTCTTGTCCAACGAGCAGACAAGGTCTAACAACCTTGGCTGCCTAGCTTAACTTCTGCGAGAGTGTTGAAGGTCTGACCACCTTTGTGTCAGGGATGCGTCCGGGGTCGAGAGGGCCCGGGGGTAATGTCTGGCACTGAGGCCGTTGCGGGGTGTGGAGCAGGCGTGCGTACTGGCGGGCCCGATCCAGGACAGTGGTCCCTGGCCACTCAGACTGAAGTGGAGAATGTGAGAAGAAGGTTACTTCTTCGGTTCCCACTTCAGGTACATTTATGTACATGCGGCTTGAGTCACATGACAGGTGCCACGTCATCCTCGGAGGCAGCCGCAGGCATCCGGGTGTCCCTGTGGGGGATCCTGAGAGCGTCCGCTGCATGCGCGCGTGCTGGGCACAGCAGGAAGCTGTCTGGGGTGTGTGGGCCGGACGGGTCAATAGTACATCGATACAAAGGAAGGTGGTCTGTGTAGATAGAAAGAAATAAACAGGAAGAGGAAGATGAGAAGAATGAAATAAAGAAAGGGGAAAGAAGAGGGAGGAAGGAGGGGGGAGGGGGATAGACAGTGGGGAGCGGGTGTGGTGTGGCCGGGTGGGTCCGGGTGGACCCGGGTCAGGCGGGTGTGCCCTGACACTTTGTTGCCTTCTATACTTGTTCCAGGAGGCTGGGGTTTAACCACCTCTGCCCAATTATTCTTGTTCAATTGAGTAACTGGGGCCTAACCACCCTGGCTACCACCCTTCTCCTCGCTGAGTGTCTCAGGTCTAACCACCTGTGAGGCCTGCAACTCTGACGCAGAGTGAATTGAGGTCTAACCGCCTCTGTCACCTGTGCCTTGGCATCCACAAAGAGAAACTGGGGTCTAACCACCTCTGTTTCCTTGTGTCTATTGTTAATTACCTTCTTGTCTAATGCATGTTTGTCGCATTTCTTGTTAAATTTTGTATATCTTTATTTCTTGTTCACAATAGAATATTTTTTTTTTGATTCTCATTTGCGATATTGAATATCGCAAGGGAGGAGAGTGTAAGGACTTACAATGTGTACCCACACATTGTCTGTCCTTTCCATACTTCACATCAAGCATGACTGCAGTCACGCTTCAGTAACATAAACAACCTGTATAATATTAAGCCACATTACATCATGTAAATACACATATATAAGATGCATGGGTAGGAGGAAAGGCTCCTCAGCCTTTACTCCCCTGTTAACAATATAGCTCATTAAAGCGTATTTGTGTGACAGACTGGGAGTGTGAGGCACTTATAACCACATGCTTACAGTGGCCAACCATGTAGCCACAGACACCCAAGATAACCTGGATGAGACCACCCACCCCTGCTTTCACTTGCGACTGAGAGTTGCGCACGCATGCAAGCGCCTTTTTTGGATTCACAACAGAGAATGAGCACAAGAGGGAATGGATGCTGCTGGTGAGGGTGCCCAATCCCTGCTATGGCCGCTTAGGCATGCGGCATAGAGGGAGGGTTGTGTATCCCAGCTGCATCAAGGACCCGACTGTCAGGGCACACCTGCCTGACCCAGCCCCACCTGGCCCCACTCCACCCGGTACCCCGCCACCCAGTCTTCCCCTACCTCCTCCCCCCTTCTTCTTTCTTTCTTCCTCCATTCCACTCTCTCTTTACTTATCTCACCTTCTCTTTATTTTCTCTTTATTCTACACGGACGACCTTTCCGTGTATCAATGTACCATTGACCCACCTGCAGTGCGCTCACGACACGCCCAGCCCGGGCGCCTCGGGTGACCCCCGCTATGTCCAGCTCGCGCGTTCACAGTGGACGCCCTCGGGATCCCCCACAGGGACACCCGGGTGACTACAGCTGTATGCGAGGATGACGTGGCACCCGTCATCTGACCTAAGCCGCATGTATATAAACACACCTGAAGTGGGAACCGAAGAAGTAGCCTTCTTCTCACCCTTTTAATAATAATAACACCCTTTTCCACTTCAGTCTAAGTGGCCAGGGACTGCCTCCTGAGCCGGGCCCGCCAGTACGCACGCCCGCTCCACACCCCGCGAGGCTTCTAGTGTCGGGCGTCTCACCCGGGCCTCCTCTACCCCGGATGCATCCCTGACACCGACTCCCTGCGGTGCCAGGCACCCAGGAGAGAGTTTGACATTAGGATTTTGATGGAGGATGGACATGAGAGGGGGAGGATAGGAGCTGATGAAGGAGCCCAAGGTCCCCTGCTGTGACCGCTTGGGAATGTGGCACAGAGGGAGGGTGGTGCTCAAGTAACCCCATGGTCCATGCACCCGGACTCCCCAGTGCACAAGATGCACTCGGAGGAGAGTTGTTTCTCACACACGACCCTGCATGGCCCGGTATCGGGCCTGATTAACTTTACTGCACACCTGCTACCCACCCCAAATTTTTTTCCCTTTCCATATTCTCCCCATCCACCCGAAGAGGAGCCCAGCATCCTAGGCAACGAACCACCATGTGCAGAGGAGGGAGGAGGGGGGGTTTTTGAGGTTTAGCCACTTCAGGGCGAAGTGGCATTAGAGGGAGGGTGGGAGCAGGGTGTAGACCCTGCCGGATCCCCTGGGACTCTCCCACTATCGCCACTACCTTGGCACTACCACACCCCCAACCCCACATACCTGGAGGAGCGCAGCCTGGAGGTCAGAGTGCAGGCATGCAGACAAATGGCCCAGAGGTCAAGTGCTGCACGACCACCCTCCATACCCGAAGCGGGCACAGCCCTGAGGCCACATCAGGAAATTGTCGTGGTCAACTTTGGACACTTCTGATGATCCTGTTGCTTCTAATACAATGAAACTGGCCGAATTGACCAATTTCCCAAAGCATTTTAGTAAAGGTGTCATGTTTCAATTCAGTTCAGAAGTGAACTCAATTGTTTTCAAACCATTTGAAGTGAAACCCTGAGGACCTTTTGCTGATGTGGACGTGATCACAGGGATGACATGACTGCAGCCATTGGGGCATCATGGGATGATGAGGGATGCAGGCTGGAGGTTGCCAAGTCACGAGCAGACAATGGAGGGTGCTGAAGGACCCAAATTTTTTTCGGGCAAGTCTTAGGGGAGTGCCACATATGCGGTGATGGACAACTAGTTTAATTTTTTTAACTTAGAACAGTTCTAACCACCTGAGGGACAGGTTACCTGGGGACTAGGGCCACTTTGGGGCGAAGTGGCTTAGAGGGAGGGTGATGTCAGGCACATACCCTGACTTAGCCCGGACCCGGACCTGTGTCCGGACCTGCTCCACTTCCCACATGTGCTTCCCATGCCACATGATCCATGCGCTGCATGCTCCGGTCCCCGGATCCTACCTTCATGTGACTTCCGGGTATCCCCGGAAGTTTTCACCATATTGGGGCCACTGTGGGAAAGTGAGAAGTTAACCTTCTTCTCACTTTCTTACCCACAGTAGTCATGCCCTGAGATGGGCTGTGTTTACAGGCTGGACTGTGGACTGTAGAGAGGGGTCATGGGGACCCGGGTCCGTCCCCTGACAGATTTGGCAATGTCCCCAATATTTTTTCACTGCCCATGCTGCTTCTTGCCCATCAAGACCCCTTTGATATGTGTCCATATAGCGGAGTGTGTCAGAGACTGGAGCGAGATGAAGGAGTTGTCTCTGTGGTGGAGGGCTTCAGCCTCAGTGACTCAGACCAGGAGCATTGTGCCAAGTTACACATCCGTACCCTAATTTACTTACTGGCAACGAGAACTAAAGGGGGATCAACTCTAGTCGATTTTATCACTGGGGTGTAACCTATGTACAAGTTAAGTGTATATAGTTACAGCGAGGGTGGGCCTGTGAATAGTGGGGCTGAGCAGAGTGGAGCTAATGGAGTTAAACATTAGCCAATTGAATATTACCGATGAGTCGGAGTTAGCGGAGTGGCAGGTGATAACCCAGAAATGGAAAGGAGGGATAGGCCCAAAGGTGGACTTGCAGGGCAAGCAAGTGAATTGCCCAGTGGGGGCAGGAGTGCACTAGCAGACATCGGAGCTGTCCAGAAGCCTTCAGGGCTCCATACTTAGGGAGGTGTAAGTAATATATTGAAAAGAGGGGGTGGTGACCATCGAGGGAGGCAGAGGTGATTGCAGAATACGGGGGCTCCGAGGTTAGTGAAGAAGGAGCAGAGGTAATCCAGAAGGACTGGAGGTAGTAGAAGACGATGGCCATGGATGGATATGACAGAGTGAGCGGTTTGCAAACCTGAGAATAATCAGCAATTTTAATCCTGAAATTCCACTGAGTACATACCTCCAGATTGAGAGTAAAGACACCGAGTCCAACGCATTTTTGGCATTAATCTCCACATCTCCAATCTTTGATGATGGGGAAGATTCATGATAAACCTGCTTTGCATATCCCCAGACTTGTTCAATAAAATTCAGTTCACAGTGGAACTTAGGGAGAAAAAGCACATCAAAACCAGCTGCTTTTCAATGGGTTTCAAGAAGGGTTTTGATGTTGATGAAATCATTGGAGTGAAAAAGAATATTGTGGCAGCAGCATTGGCTTGCACTGGCTTGGCACTTGAATTTCTTGCATTGGGCACGCAAGTGAGTTGTGTCATAGCCCTGCTCAGTAAGGATCTGGGCCATGCCTTTGAAATACCCAGGATACTGTGGGTGGTCATCAGGGTAATAAAGTTGCTGTGATTGCCCATTGAACATCGTATCAGCCATGTCTTGGTAGTCATGCAGGGTGTCATATCCATCCCCAGCCATCAACTTCCACTCCCTCCGGACTACCTCCGCTCCTTCTTCACTAACCTCAGAGCCCCCGTATTCCACAATCACCTCAGTATCCCTTGATGGTCACCACCCCCTCTTTTCAATTTATTACCTACGCCTCCCTAAGTACAGAGCCCCAAATTCCACCTTCAGGCCTATCCCTTCTTTCTGTTTCTGGGTTATTTCCTACCATTCCGTTAACCCCATAACCAGACTTGTCGGTAATATTCAATCAGCTAATGTTTAAACCCGTTAGCTCCACTCCACTCAGCTCCACCATTTGCGGGCCTGCCCTCATTGTAACTATATATACTCAACTTGTACATAGGTTACACAAATCGACTAGAGTTTACCCCCCCTTCAGTTCTGGTTGCCAGTTTAGTAAGTTAGGGCACGGACATGTTACTTGGCACAGCGCTCCTGGCATAAGTTGCTGAGGCCGAAGCCCTCCACCACGGAGACATTCCTTCGTCTTGACCTGGTCTCTGACATGGGGCTTTCCATCTGGACCATAAATGATTGAGCCACTATCGTCATGCAAGGCAACAGGAACTCCCCATGGCTTGGGATTTCTTGGGATCTTGACAGCTGATAATGCATCGTCAGCACACTTAGAATGAGTCTGAGCATTGTCAAAGACAAAAACATGTTTGTCGTTCGGGTAGCATGCCTGTAATATCTCCATGGCCTGTGATGCTTGCTGAATCACATCATCATTAGTGAAATATCCATCTTTGTTCTTTCCCGGCTTCAGAGTAACTGTCATATCCATACAATCCCGACCTCTGCTCCGGGCTCCTGGAACTCCAAACCTGACTTCTGGAGCCCTACTTCCCTTCTGTCACCTTCTCCTTGCCGACTCCCAAGAGGTTATCCCACCTCCGGCTCCAACACCACCTTCAGTCCGACTCTGGAACATTCCAGGTCCAACCTCAACCTCAACACCTCCCAGACGAGCACACAACACCTATGCTCCTGACTCCGGACCTCTGCTCCAGAATCCCATTTGTGTCTCCATCTCCGGAACCTCCGGTCTTAGCTCCGACCTCGGACTTTGACCCCACCTCCACTTATACCCATTGTATTGGTTACCTCATTCCATTTAATTATGTTTGCCAATATTCCAGAGTTTAACTTCCAAGTTCGGACTTTCCGGACTTATGTTGGACCTTGCAACTATTGCATTGCTCCATTCAATTCCGCTATACTCCCTCATTCCTATTTGGGCTGCTGCTTCCTTTCTATTCAGTCAGTCAGCCATTCCCCACTCCCATCCTCCTTCCTTCCTCCTTGGGCCTTGGCCCTTCACTCCTCCTTTGGGAAACACCATTGAGTCAAACCCTTGACCCTCGGTTTTGTTCCTCTTTCCAGCTCCCTTTGTCTCCTTTCGGAGTACCCTCGCTCCTTTTGATTCTGGACCCCTCCTTATATACAATGTACATAGTAACTTGTAACCTCAGTCCGAAATTGACCTGAATTCCTCCCAAGAGACTTTCCCTCTGCTAGATCCGAGGGACCCCCAGGACAACCAGCAATGGCACAGCGCTCCACCTGAGTCGCTGAGGCTGAGGTCCTTCCACACTAAGTCTCCGATTCCACTCTGAAGTCGTCCGAATCCGCCCATTCTAACAGACTTAGAGTACTTCAGGTTCTTGCCCAATTTCGCATTCTGCTTGGAGGAGTCAGGTGAGGTAGCTCGATCTCTCAGACAGTGCGACAACTTGCCCTTGCGCTCCCAATATCGTCCATCGATATCTTGGGCAAGAGAGCACATGTCATGCAGCAAGCATGGCTTACCATAACAAGTGATCTCATCCTTGATCCTATCTGGCAACCATTGTAGAAATGGTGCCTCAAGGCAACCTCACCATATCTGGATAACTGTGAAGCATTGTGATTAAACTTGACGATGTACTTGGCAATTCTGTGATTATCCGACATGGTCAGGGTACTTAGACGACGTTCAGCATCACCAAATGGGTCATGTGGGCCAAAGTTCTCTTCGAGTTCTCGGACGAAGAGAGTCGTCCATCCAACGTGGACAGTGACGTGGGTTATCATGAAGAAGTTCAGGCTTGAACCAACTCAGAGCAATCCCCTTGAGGAATGATGTGGTGTAGATGACTTTGGTACGCTCGTTGACAAACACTTGGGGGCGGTTCTGGAAGTTGAGTTCACACTGAACAAGGAAGGTATGGAGTTTCTGAGGGTCAGTACCGTCAAATTGGTCAGGCTCACGAAGCTTCGTCCTATGGCTGGGGTCTGGAGGTTGATGAGCAGCAGTGGTTGAGCGGGCCAGGGCAGCAATAGCGTCCATAACTGGGCCAACACATGGCTACCGGGGTCATCTGGCAGCTGATCCTCAGGCAGATCATCACCACCGTCATCACCACCACCACCATCACTGTCACCACCACCGTTACCACAGTTGGGTGGGGCATCTGGCAGGTCTAGAGGATTAGTGGGATCAGGATGTGGAGTAGGGTTACAAGAAGCTTCAGGGTCATAGTCATCAGCTTGGCTGTCCAGATCGACATCTCTCTCAACAGCAGCCGCCTCATCATGGTCTTGGAATATGGAATGACGAAATCAACAGGAGGGTGCAGGAGTGGAGGAGGAGGTAGGGTTGTCACAGTCAGCCATAAAGCTTTGGAATGGCAGACATTCAGAAGGGTCTAGGTCATGTCTGCGCAACAGTTCTTCAAGCATACCGAGACCTGGAAGCCTAGAAGAACCAGGTTCAGTGCACGTCTGTGAATGGGTCTGATAAGCTCTAGACATAGTTCAGTGAAACAATGATAGAGCAAGGAAAGAACGTAAGAGCGATTTGAGTTCATATATACTGTCAGGAACATGTCAGGCGCGTATCTGGGTGACCCGCAAGGCATATGAAGTTGTCTGGGCTCGTAAGGTCGGAGGGGCAGGACTTTAGCTTCAGTGACTTGGGTGGAGCGCTGCACTTTGTTCTTACGTTGGTGTCCCAATTTCAGACAGAAGCCTTACGATGAGGAGAAGAGTCTAGAGGGAGAATCCAAGTCGATATACGAACTGAGGTACATCCAGTGTAACCTACACACGTTATAAACACAAGTAACTAAATAGGACCGGTGTAAGCGTTGTTTAGGTTGAGTGAGTGAGTGATCTCGTGATAGTCAGGTTTTGCCTTACACTCCCAGTCCACTGAAGTACACTGTATGAAGCTGTATTTATCAATGGGGGGGTAAAAGGCTGGGAAAGCCTTTACCCCCCTTGCATGTAGGTTAAATACAATATTGTATATACATGCGATAGTTGTGGCTTGGGACCGCATGGTAGAAATGAAGGGTTTGGGAATAGAAGTGTTGTGTCAGGTACAAACCCGATGCGATAAATAAAGAATGAAGAATGAATAAGGTTGGCCGCAAGTATGCGGCCTATATCCCTTACACTCTCCTCCCTTGCGATATTAATATCACACAGGCAGGTATAACAAGAAGTTGTCAAGAAATTAATATAAAGTGGGGAATGGCGATTAAGCCATTCCCCTCAAAATTTTTTACAAGAATTATTCAAGAAAGAATTTAAAAACGATAGCTGTTAGGCCTTGACGAAACCGTTATTATGATGGTTTCAGGATTAAGTGAAAGTAGAGGCTGTTAGGCCTCCATGGGTCTGTTGTTTCGACAGACCAAAGAAAAGATATAAAGCAGAGGCTGTTAGGCCTCCACAGGTCTGTTGTTTTGACAGACCAAAGAAATATATATAAAGTAGAGGCCGTTAGGCCTCCACCGACCTGCTGTTTCGGCGGATTAGAGGAACTAAGGAAGTGAAGGCTGTCACGCCTTCACACAACTGTTATTATGACGGTCCAGAGAATGGGGTGGAGAGCAAAGCAAAGGCTGTTAGGCCTTTGCAGGACCGTTGTTACGACGGTCCCAGAGCAGAAAGCAAAAAAAAAAAAACGATGAATGAGGTGGTTAGGCCTCAGCGGTACGAATGACACACCAGAGTGGATGATAGAATGGGGGGTGATTAACCCCTCTTAAATGAGGCACATATACCTCGACGAAGAGAAGGTGATTAAACCTTCTTGGAGGAAGGGCCAGCGGTAGCTGAAATGGCAGCATTAGAAAGGTCCGAAGGACCAGCAACAGCGGCCTCGGTCTCAGACCAGATCACAGTGGGGAAACGACGTTCAGGAAGAGGGGCAGCCTCGTCGACTGACCCTGTAGTCGCCTTGCCATCACTCTTCATATCCTCGTCCTTGTCAGGGATAGGCAGTGGGGTGGGAGGGCACACAGCGGCAGGTAGATGGCCATAGTTGCCATCCATTAATTGAGAGAGAGAGAAACCCACATCTTTTGTGGAGGCGTGGGTGGAGCTGGTTCAGGCATGAAGTGCCCTGACCACGATGGAGGGGGAGGAGGTACAGGGTAGTCGCTCACATTTCCGAGAATTTGAAGGCAGTCATATTGGCCACCCTACAAGCCCTTGCCTCGTTGGAGGGATGATGCCTCCACAACGACAGCAGGATGTACTTCATCCCTGCCTCATTGGGAATTTTGGGAGTCCTTTGGACGTACCCATACCTCTTGTCGAAGTCATCCACAGAAGGATTCCTTCTGTCCTCGAATTTTAGCTCAAAGTAACGAGCATGAAGGTCACTGTCACGACCATGCATCCCGGCCCATTAGCCGCCCGTCCCGATGCTGCCCGAGCCTATTCCCGCTGTGCGAGCGCGAGCGCGAGCCCCGACCTCAGCCCTATCCTCCCTGAGGGCCCCCTGCTCACTCCCCCACTTGCCCCTAGGCTCCCCTACACTTGGCCGACTCCCACACAGCCACACCGACCTCCCTGCCCCGAGTCCGCCTCCGGTACTGACCTAGCGTGACTCTGCGACATCGCCTACTCCGCTATGATACCATCGCCGCTATCGCGGCCCTACACCCCTTCGTTTATTTATCTGTTATTGTTTGTTTTGACCCTCGGTCATTGCCGGCTGCTGTGCGGCCAACCCCGCTCGTTGTTCCTATTTGCTTCCGGACCCTTCGGCCTTCGGCCCGGGTCCGCTTCTATTCATTCTACCTTCATATATATATCCTGTATACTACATTATAGTACCTCAGCTCTAATATCGACTTGACCACGACCCCAAGCCCTGACCCCAACAAGGCAGCCCCAGTAAGTTCGAAATGAGGGCCAAGAGACAACTAGGGGGCACAGCACTCCCTTTAGAGTTGCTGAGGCCAAATGCCCTACCCTCGGGCTTTGTCTGAGGCATCGCGGCCAATAGCGGCCCGCATCGGCGACCTTCGGTGCCGACCCCGGACCAGTGTCTAACAGTCACGAACATCACCTGGGGCATCATCAATAACCCCAGCTGCCCCAACCTGCTGGTCGATCCACTTGAGGTCAACCAGCAATTTAAACCCATTCACTGTAATCAGGAACGGGAGTACGAAGTTGTCCCATTGCCATTGACGATAGCCTATTTCAGTGGTGATTAGCCACCTCTGGCCACTAACGGTAACTCCATGTATGAAGTCGTTGGCATGGAAGGAACCCGGGATGGGTATGTTTCTCCATGTCCCAGGAGAAGGAGAACGATTCTGGCTAGGTAGCCGGAACCATGAATATTCGAGTGGTAGGAGGGGGTGATGCGGTGCCTGCTCTTTTCCCAACTCAGGATTGGATGTATTTGATTGGATCCTATGGCTCACCGTTGGGTCAGCAACGGGTACTTGAGGACGGGCCAGTTTGGCTGGTCCAGGGTGTCGATGAGAGTTGTCATCTACATGATGCACCCTCTCAACGGGGGCATTCTGGGTACATGTTTCTGTGTGAGGGGTTTTTCGAGGGCATGATGCCTCATCTTCCTCACAACCTTTTTCAAATGGCTCGAGGTCCCTTTCCAGCAAGTCGCACTTTTGTCAGAGGAAATCCCGGTGTAACGAGACCTCCTGCAACTCGCTGGTGAGACGCTGGTTCTTGAGCTTGATGTTAAAGAGTTCCTCATGGAGCCCTATGTTTTCTTCTTGGATACGTCAAGTCCCTTCTCGAGACTGCAACAGTTCGTCATCAAGACGTTGAACACAGGCGTTTGCATCCATAAGGAGTTCAGTCAGGAAAGACCCTGACATTGTAGCATGTGGCTGGTGAGCCGCTTCAGGAGTGGGTGCTCCACAAGGGAGGGAAGGGTGGTAACCCTAGAGATTGGGGTTAAAGTATGGCAACAGCGGCGCTTGTCCTGGTGCCATTGAGTCCACGAAAAATTGCTGGCCCATTGTCTGATGGTCAGACACAGTGTAAGCTGCAGTAGCTTGCACATCCATCACAGGGGAAGGACGCCCTGATACTGTTGGTATCGGGGTAGGATTAGGGATATTTGCAGCGCTGGGGGCCTCAGCACCCGGTGTCAAAGTATGTTGAATGCTGTTTAAGGCAGGACCCATGGTCTCAGTGTCCATGGGGGTGGTGTTCGATCGTGGGCTTTGCCCACAGTCATCGTCGGGCAGCATTTCCCTCCCGAAATTTTCTTGCACTTGCTCAGACATGGTGGGGGAAAAGAAGAAGGATGAAGTTTTGTCCGTGGGAACAATGTTCATACCCCGGAGGCAAAACCCAAATACAGCAACTAGCACCATAATTGTCCTTCGTTAGGCCATAAGACTATTCCCAAGTGGGTAGTCCATCAGGAGCGAGTAGGATGGGGTGCTTTATTAGCCCCTCATGTGGGAATAGAAGGAAATTTGCTTTCCTTATTCAAATTTTCTACTGCATTGACCCCATGTAAGTAGTCATCCAATGCAGCCAATTCATTGCAATGAGTGAGAGGCTCCCATGAGAGATCCCCCAGGCCCCATTTGATGCGGAACCACAGGCTACCGCCAGTGTCCCAGGAATGATCAGGATTTCCTGGACCTGATATTCCCGTTTGGGATCTTCACCAAAGTCGTAGAAGACTCGGGCAGCCCAACCCGGGAATAGCAGTGAGTTGTTTGGCTCGTGTGGGGCCAAGCGAGAAACATGAAACTTGGGGTGAATATCCCTATTGAGAAGCTCTGGAGGGAGCTTGAGTGTATAGTTGGATGAATCCTTGAATGCTTCGAGGATCTCATACAGCCCAACATATTTGGGGAGGAGTTTCTTTGCTCTTCCCTTAGGCAGGTTGAGGTCCTTGGTCGCCAAGTAGGTGAAGTCGCCTACCTTCAGCTTAGGTGGATCTGGGCACCTATGCCAATTGGCTTGGACCAATTGCTTGATGCAACTCTTTATTATCGCATCATGGGTGCCTGTCAGGGACGCGTCCGGGGTGGAGGGGGCCCAGATGTAGCGCCTGGCAGAGGGACCTTCTCGGGGGCGAAGCGGGCGCACGTACTGACGGGCCCGATCTGGGACTGTAGTCCCTGGCCACTTAGACTGAAGTGGAAAACATGAGAAGAAGGTTACTTCTTCAGTTCCCACTTCAGGTACATTTATGTACATGCGGCTTGGGTCACATGACGAGTGCCACGTCATCTGCAGGGAGAGCTGCAGCCATCTGGGTATCCCCATGGGGGATCCCAAGGGCATCCACTGCAGGCGCGCATGCTATGCGTAGTGGGAAGTTGTCTGGAGTGTCCGAGCCGGATGGGTCAATAGTACAATGATACAAGGAAAGGTGGTCCGTGTAAATAGAAAGAATAAATGGAAAGGGAGAATGAAATAAAGGAGGAAGAGGAAAGAGGGAAAAGGGAGGAAAGGGAAGAAGGGGAAGAGGGAGGATGGAGGATGGAGGATGGAGGGAGGATGGGTAGCGGGGAGCGGGTCAGGTGGGCCCAGGTGGAACTGGGTCAGGTGGGTGTGCCCTGACAGTGCCCTGGAGATTATCTAACGCTTTCTGTGCAAAGGTGCCCACTCCAGGGAGGTCAGTCGGTGGAACTTCCACTGTCATACAGGGTATTGTCCCATAGATAAGTTCGAAAGGGGCATACCCTGTCGATTTATTCATGCTCAAGTTTTAGTACCCAGTCATGCTGATCTGGCCGAATAGCTGCACGAATTACTTGGATGATGCTCTGAACCATTTGTTCAGCTTGTCCATCACCTTCTGGATGGAAAGCGGTCGTCATTTTTAGATGTACACCAAGTAACCTGTGTAATTCCGTCCAAAATCTGGATGTAAACTTAGTGTCTCTGTCAGACACTATGGATCTTGGGAGTCCGTGAAGGCACATGATGCCTTTCAAGAACTCATACACGAGTTCTAGCACGTTGATCGTGGTTTTCACAGGTATCAAGTGAACCTGCGAAGTCAAACGGCACATAACTACCCAGAGGTAGTTATGATCTAGACTCGCTGGGAAAGGACCAACAAAGTCCATCGATATAGAGGACCATGGGGCCTCTGGAATTGGCAGCTGGTGCAACAGCCCAGCTCTTCGTCGAGTAGACCACTTGGTGGTCTGGCACATTTCACAGGAGGAGACATACTTCTCCACGTCGCATACCATTGTAGACCACCAATAGTAGTGGCGTAAATATTCTAAGGTTTTATGGAATCCTAGGTGACCTAGGATCTCATGTGCATTTTGGATGGCGATCCTAGTCGCCTTCTCCCCTTTATAAATGATGTCTGGGAGAACCAGACGTGGTTCTCCCAAGTCATTCAACTTTGAAATAAGGCCGCTCTTGACCTTAAATCTTGGGAATTGTCTGGGATTCTCTAGAATCCCTTGCCAAGCTGCATGCTCGGCATACCCTTCTCTCACAGAGGAGAGGAAGTCATCTTCCTCAACAACACTCCTGAGGGAATCCTCAGGCAGTACAATGTCAGCGAGCATCAGCTCGCTCCTCCCTGAATGATTGTCGGGGGGTCTAGGACTGCAGCTTCCAAGTTGCGGTCTTTGATCACACTACTCACCATAGCGAGTCATAACGAAAGTCGATGCAGAAGAAGCATTTCTTCTGCCTCTTCAATATGACTTAGAGGGAGGTCATCTCCAAATTTGTCTATGTGGACATCTGCAGAGACAAAGTCATCATAATGAAGGTCTTCGTCCAACGAAGACTCATAATAGCGGCTGAGTGCGTCAGCCACTTTGTTTTTGTGGCCCTCGACATACAAGATGTCGCACTTGAAGCCATAAAAGAAGTTTTGCCACCTTATGTGGTGCCCAGAGTGTGCTGCTTCTGTTTGAAGTAGGTGAGGGCCTTATGGTCTGTAACGACCGTAAATTCATGCCCTCCAGTCAATTCGTCCATCCACTTGGATAGGGCTTCCAGTTCATATGCAAAGTATGAGCGTTGTGTCGAAGTAAACTTCTTCAACATGAAGGCAGCTGGGCAGGATAGTTCCCAGCTGGCACCCTGAGCCAAAATAGCCCTGATGCCTGCAGGGAAGGCGTCGGTAATAACCCAGACTCGAAACCTGTTCCTCTCTTGTTCAGAGAGGCCATCTGGTACTTGCCAGATGATTGGTTTTAGAATCAGCATCTTGCATGCGAGATTCTTTATGTTATTGAAACACTTCTGGTGCAGTGGCGACCAGAAGAAAGGCAGATTGTTAGTGCAAATGGTCTGCAAAGGACCAGTGTATGTGCTAACATTAGGCATAAATCGAGCAAGGTATTCTATTAGGCCTAGGAAGCGTAGCACTTCCTGGTGGTCTGAAGGTTTGCGCCAAGCGCAAAGCTTCACCTT